ATACATTTAGGCGCCTGCACCTGAATTCTTAACCTTGCCTTCACTGGTGCCTCCGTTTTGGACTCTGACCTGGTCTGCTGCCTCCAGTAGTACAATATGCCGCCGCTGCTCCTTGCGAACGCCGCGCCTTCTAGTGGTGACTGTGACCCTACCCGTTACCCTCCTTAAATAGTGAGGATGCCTAGTGAGCGCTTCTGCATATGATATCACTGACCGCTCCACCATTATCACGTAGTCAGTGAATCAACTGCAGCGCGTCACGTAGCTCATCCCTACTATTCATTTCTGGGGAGAGCCTTCTTATTTCCAGTGCTTCTAATAGTTTTCTTTCCACTGTATTTTCTATGGAACGGTGTAATACTGTAATAGTAATGTACTGCTGTTAAACAACTCGAAATGACCATTAAAACGGTGTTGGGTAAAAGATTGGATAGTTCCTACTTATTATTCTCTAGTCAAAACGCATAAATTTACGACAGCTACTTTGGATCATCTCACCGTGCAAGACGTAAAGACCCGACCCATAATTTCCTCTTGTGGTGGACCATCGGACAGAATCAGCTGGCTCCTTGTCAAATTATTCTCCCCTCTTCTAAGCCATGTATCATCGCATTTGGTCAATACAGGGGACTTCATGGCTTCGTTGGAACAATGCCATATCCCAGCAACCGCTAGCTATGCTAGTTTTGATGCAGTATCCTTGTATACGAACGTCAACACCTGGGACGCAATTGATGCTCTAATAGACTTATGGAGCCAGCATAGAAGGGAAATCTTCGTTTTTGGCCTGGAAGAAGAAGACCTGCGGAAATTGTTCAAGGCAACGTTGGAGTGTAACATATTCCAGTTCGACGGAAGGTTCTACAAGCAACATCGGGGGCTAGCCATGGGGTTACGAATCGCGCCCTTACTAGCCATCCTTTTTCTGGACCGCATAGAACGCCGGTCGCTAACATCAGGGATATTATTTTACAAAAGGTACATCGATGACGTTTTCGTTATTGGTTCCTCATCGGGGGAGTTGGAAGATACGCTTCTAAACCTCAACTCACAGGATCCAGACATCAAGTTTACTGTGGAGAACCCAGATGAGGACGGATTTGTCCCATTTCTAAACACCAGGGTCAAGATTGAAAACGGTGTCAAACAGCTGTACTGGTATAAGAAACCGGCGTCGAAGAATATATTACTGCACGCCAGAAGTTGCCACCCGTCATATATGAAAGCGAACGTAGTTCGCAATTTGATCAAGACAAAAGAAAGAACATGTACGCAGCGGTCGCAACGAATAGATACAACGGTGGACCGAATTCTTGGGGAGAATGGATACGTCAATACACGTATTTATACATGGAGACCGTACTCGACACCAGATGGCATTCCTTTGGTAATGCCATATCTAAATGAGAGTACGGCACTGAAAGTTAACAGTTAACAGTATAGTCAAAAGCTCACCACTCCCCATACAGCTCATATTTCGTCCACCGCCAAATCTAAAAAGACTACTAACGTACTCCAGGCCTTATGAAGAAAAATGTGGACGAGGGAACTGCACATACTGTAATGATAGAAAAATATGCCAACTCCGAGGAACGGTATATTTGATAGAATGCCAGGGATGCGGGCAAAAATACATCGGAGAGACAAAGAGGCCACTCTTCAAACGATTAGATGAACACCGCAGGGCCCTAAACAATCCAGCTTCATACCCGGATAACAGTCTCTCGAAGCACCGCACCAAAATGCATATACACGAAGGTCCTCCCGCAATCACCATTACAGTATTACACC